ACCATGGTGATGGCAGATAGTTTAGAGGGACTTCAGAGGCTAATGGACAGAATAAACGAGTACAGTCAACAGTACGGACTAAACATTAATACCCACAAAACGAAACAAATGATTATCAGCAAGGAGAATATAAACGGGGCTCATATATACATTAATGGGACGCAGATAGAGCGAGTAAAACAGTATTGTTACCTGGGAACTATTATTAACGAACAGTGGAGCAATTTACAGGAAATAAAGTGCCGCATGGGAAAGGCAAGAACGGTCTTTAACAAAATGAGCGCCATCTTTAAAAGTCACAACATATCCCTTGATACAAAAATGAGACATTTGAGATGCTATGTTTTCTCTGTGTTGTTGTACGGGGCGGAGGCATGGACGCTTACAGACACCACTATTAAAAAACTTGAAGCATTTGAGATGTGGCTTTATAGAAGAATGCTGAGAATATCATGGACAGCAAGGATCACGAACAAGGAAGTTCTAGGAAAAATGAAGAAGGAACCAGAGATTGTGTTTACAATCAAACGCATAAAATTGCAATATCTGGGACACGTTATGAGAAATGAGCACCGTTACTCCCTGCTACAGTCTATATTGCAAGGTAAAGTCAAAGGTAAGCGAGGACCCGGTAGAAGGAGAATATCATGGCTGCGGAATTTAAGAACATGGTTTAAGAAAACCTCAACGGAGCTGTTTCGAGCCGCAGCGAGCAAGGTTATGATTGCCAATATGATTTCCAACATCCGAAACGGATAGGAACCAGAAGAAGAAGAAGATATTCAAAAAATGATTTACATATAATTACTAGGTATCTAAAAAAGAATTTAATTTATTTGTAGGTATGGGGAAACGAAGGCGCCTAAAATGCCAACAGGCACGCACGACGGGAGAGCTTTTTATAAAAATGAAGAGAAAGTTAAACTATAGACAGAGAAAGACAAGTCTATACTGCAATTTCTAGAGTTAAACCCTGTTTGCAGACGTCGCCCAAAAACTAGAGTCAATCGCAATAAGACGACTACATGCACTACAAGTGTTTTAGTCAAGACGACTACATTCATAAAATGTCCAGATGGCAAGTTACCATTTGCCAAAAGACTTTCACTAATGCCTTGACTATCACAAGGGGCCGACTCCGAACTATAATAAACAATTTTAGAGGGGAAAGTAATCTTCCATGTGAGAAAAGGGGAGGAAACAAACAAACGCATCTATATAAAGAGAAACAGAGGAGCTTGGTCGAATTTATTCGAGGATAAGCCACCTTAAGATAATAGGAATAGTATAGCGGAGATGCGCTGTCCTGAGTTTTTGAATTCGGTTAGGAAACCATGTTGGAGTTCTATTACCAGGACCTCCACATGAAGAGCATTTGGCTGATTGTTGTGCCTCTATAGCGCATCAGAGTGCTATAGGGGGGAAAGGGATGGTCTAGAGCATTGGAGCACGGTGGGGTGACTCCTGTTTATACACGAGTTAACACACCTTGCTCCAATGAATTGTTACACCCGATCGTAATTCTTAGAGGTGAACATTTCTCATAGGCTGGGTTTAATTAAATTGCTTGCTTGGTCGAATTTATTAAAAGTATAAAATGCGTGGAGTCTCATGACTGTCGCGGCGATTCAGGCGCGTGGCGCTTAGAAATCTTTGTCTAAATTTAAAACTGTTTTTAGCAAGACTGAAACCACTTATTCTTGTCAAAATATTATTACTTACACGTAAAGGTTTAAAGATTATAAACCTTTTTGTAGAATTTTAATTCTTTTAGTAGTCATTTTTTTTAAGGCATTTTTTCAAAAAAAAATTGCAAATAATTCGAAAAAGAAGCGTTTTTTAAAAAATTACCAGCCAAAAAAAGAATTTTACTTCGATGAGATACGTCTAAAAAAATTTTACTCGAAGCGATTCAGAAAATTATTTCTTTGTGGTAAGTTATTTGATAATTACAATTTCCGATTCACTTTTTCACTAAAAATAAACATTTGAAATTGAAATCATATAATATAGAATCAAATAAAAAAGGTGCAGTAGAAATACATAAAAAATGTCGGTATATTCCGTTCCTAAGAGTCTTTTTAGAGGTAAACCGTTCTCCTATAAGAATTTACGGTGGAATAGCAAAAACAAACCCGGGCCAAAGAAAGTGTAGCCGAAGTTATTTATATATCTATGGTGTAGCCTTATTAATACATCAAAGATATCAAAATCGCATCAGAGTGTCGATACATATCAGAAAGGATTTTAAGAGCAATGACACGCGTGGAGAAAGAAGGCCTAAACATCATCGAAGTACCTATATGGCCCAGAAAATAACAAGCCTTAAATAACAAGGAAAACGTTTTATGATACACTACAAACAAGTAATAGATCATGTCAGAGGGAAAATGACAATATTGGAAGATTCTAACGATCGAATAGGCAATCAAGTATTACCCGGAATTAAAGAAAACATAATGAGAGCATTAAAGACGAAAATGAAGAATTGATGATAAACTTCTGAATGAATAACGAATTAGGAATAAATAACACATTTTTAGACCGTACAGACCAACGAAAATATACATTAAATAAAATCCATGTACAAAAATCTGTAATAGATTATGTTAAAACCAACAGAAATATATATTTATCAAAAATAATCGACGTAAGAGGCCTCAACTCAGCAGATGTAGGTAGCGACCATAGCATAATATTACGTAAAATAAGAATTATCATAAAACCAAACCCAAACTTAAACTCAAACTCAAAAAGAGAGCAGCATTAACACAAAGAAAAATCGGAATCGAAGGACTTAATATGGAATCCACGAAATACCTATACAAAAAAAGAATATAAGAGATGACTGCAGAGAATAAAATATTAGAAAACGGTAACACCGAGAAAAGCTGTGAAAAACTCAAAAATAACATAATTAACGCAGCAACAGAATCACTGGGAGGCAATAAAAATGAATATATTAAAAAAGAAAACTTATGGTTTAGAGAGGAAGTGAAGATAAAATGTGAAGAAAAGAAGAAAGCCTTTTTACAATATAGAACACAACAAAGGCAAATGGCATACAATCACTATAAACAATTCAGAAATGAAACGAATACTTTAGGTAACCAAATAAAAAGCTTGTGTCGTTCATAATGAACATGAACATGCTGAAAATTCATGAAGTGGGAAGATATTCGATATCCAGAGATGTGATGCCGTCTGTGAGACGGTATGTTAGTACTTAAGAGTTAAACCGCTGTAAATGTGATTAAGTATATTATTATATATTTTTATATTAGTATACATTTTTTATATATTATAGATTTTAGCAAACCGTTCAATATTTTTACCTACTACTACTACTACGACTACTATCGGTTTACAGCGTTCTCCGACGCCTTCCGACTCCTAACCCCATTCTTCTTTATTTAACCATAGGCCTGGAGGGATTTATCTTTCCTCTAGTTCTTTTTCAATTCCCTCTCTCCAGCTTCTTCTCGGCCTTCCTTTTCCTTCTCCCTTGTGGTGTCCACGTCAAAATCTGTTTTGAAATCTTGTCATCTGGCATTCTCTGTACATGGCCGTACCATATTAACTATTTTGTTTTTATATCATCAACTATTGTATGCTTGACTCCCATCATTTCTCGTATTCTCTCATTTGGTATCCGATCTCTTCTTGATTTGCCTGCTGCTCTTCTCCAGAAGTCCATTTCTGTTGCTAGTAATAGTTTCTCTGTTCTTTGTTTCATTGGCCAAACTTCACTGCCATATGTGATTACACTTTTAAGTATGGTGTTATATATGAGTTGTTTGTTCGCTTTAGATATTGTTTGGTCCCACAGAATCCGTTCATCATGGATATGGCTTTTCTACCCTGTATGTTTCTGTCTTTTATAGCAGCATCGAGTGTTCCATCTTGAGTTATCTTCATACCCAGGTACTTGTATTCATCACAGTTTCTCATTTCTACCCCATCGTCTAATATAATGGACTGTTTTGGCCCTCCAATACACATGGCTTCAGTTTTCTTAATGTTGACTTCGAGACCCATTTGTTATATTTTTCTATTAGCATCCGAGTCATGTAACTCAAGTCGTCATGATCCTGAGCAATCAGTATTTGATCATCAGCGAAACATAAGGTGTACAGTGTAGTCTCGTCATTGAGAGGGATTCCCATGCCATTACATTTTCTTTTCCACAGCTTGAGTGCTTGTTCCAGATAAATTTTAAAAAGGTAGGCGAAATACAGCACCCTGCTTAAGTCCTTTCGTGACTTAAATCCTTCAGATATCCTTGATCCAGTTTTAATTTTTGCAGTCGTTCCATTATACAGACTTTGGACTGCTTTGATAAGACCATGCTTAATGTTGGTTTGCTGTAGGGTTGACCATAGTTTACTTAGGGGTACACTGTCAATATTTTTACCATGAAATAAAATCACCAGACTATTCTATTGCGAAGTAGAAAATGTGTATATTAGCTTACTAGCTAACAAATTCCGTTGAGTTAAACGTCTATGGAAGACACTTCTTAATTACAGTTTTTTTATATTGTACGTACTTAGCATATTACGTTTTTAAATTTTAATTAAATATGTCAAGTAAATTAAATATTTGCTCTTTTATTATTATCAATGTGAAGGAAACCAGTTAAACGGTAATAATTCCAACAGTATGTTATACATTCCAGGATTTGATTGTAGTTATGCTGGTGGCATAACTAGAAGTGAACGTATTCTGAAACTTTTTCTTGTGGCATGTTTAAGTTAAATATTTTATTTATATGTGAATTAGTGAATTATTCTCATTACAATTAATTTTGATTTAATTCCATATAAATACAATATTTAATTATTAGTACTTTAGGTGCTGTTTTGCTACTATAAGTTAGACTTTTCTTAAACGTCATAAATATAACCTGAAATGAAGAATGTCAAGTTTGAAGTTCAATTTTAAAATTATTTAAAAAATAATTTATATCACAGTTTTATGGTTTTATTAACAGTTTGATCATGATAAAAACAAATTTATGTAAGTTATACAGAACGCTTACCATTTTACGAATAAGAAAGTTGCACCGGTGTCCTTTACAAATCACTGCAAATAAACAATTTCCAGTTGTACCCACTATTTCTAACAAATATGAGAAAAACGATGATTTTAATTTTCCATTTAAGGTACCATGGGGCATCTTTAGTTTAGTTGCAAGTTTAGTGTTTTGTGAAGCAAGCAGATTAGATCGAGATGAGCAAAGGTTGTTTAAGGCTTGTCTTTTTGGTTTAACTCATGAATTAGAAAGGTACGTTGTTTAAAAATTACTACAACAAAAATATAGACGCTTAGCTAAGCGTCTATATTCTTTGCTACAACTAAAGTAGATGATATTTAAGATAAGCAGAAACGTCTAAGTATGTTAAAAAATTAACTGATCTTATATTCCTCAAATTCCGTTGCCTCTAACTAAAACTAATAAATAGCAGTTATTAGTTCTTAATTTGTAATCTATGTTTATCAGGTTGGTAAAACAGGGTGTAGATATTAATAGAAGGCATCAGTTAGGCTGGACTCCACTTTTAGTAGCTACTGTTAATGGAAGATATGACATTGTTGAATACCTTTTGAAAAATCAAGCTGATCCAAATCTCAGTGATAACTATGTGAATCCTAATAGAACTGCGAATGAAAAAGGAATGCATCCGATTGAAGGTGAAGATTAAAAATTTTGTGCAATTGTTACTTAATAAGTATTTATTTTGTAGTTTTGATGGCAAGGGATGAAGAATTTTCAAGTTCTTTAAACAACAAGGCAACTTTCCTAGGATTTACTGCTTTACATTATGCTGTTTTAACAGATAATTTGGACATTGCAAAACTATTAATAAAATATGGTGCCAATCCTACTTTACAGAATGATATGGGACACACACCATTGATGTATGCCAAAGATCCTGAGATTAAACAATACTTGGAGAAAGAGATGTCTATTGTAAGTTGATTTTCATATTCATTAATAAAAATTTGAAACCTATTTAAGTTTTAATGGTTACATAATTTTGAGCTGATTGTATTATCACATAATTTAATTTGCCCATTTTATATATTTTACAGTCTAGCACCTATCGTGATCATTGTGCTACTGCCTCACATGTTTAAAAAAAATTTCCAAGTCTAAATTGATATTTAGAGAGGTTTTCCTTGGTGTTGCCAATTTCGAAATATATTTTTTATCATGAGTTCAAATTTTTTTAAAAATCAAAAACCTAATGATATCCTACTATAAGTTCAGTTAATATTTGATTTTTGACATTATTCCAATTCAGCTTCAGAGAATTATTTATTAAGTTCACCTACTCCTCTACCATTCATGACCAAAGGATGGCACATCTTGCATGGAACAAAATGTTTATGCTTTCAGACTCCATCCACAGTTTATGCAAAAGTAGACAAAGCAGGAATTGTCTTGTTTTAGCAGCTCCTTAGCGATCATCAACACCCCAAATAATGGCCATTGTTCTGTGTATATTTCAAGGAGTATAACAGTTTGTGTCCAGCATGCATTTCTGCAATCTTGATTGATAGCTCATTCCATCCCATTAGTTGCATCTTATGACTGGCAGGGGTCAGTATCTTAGCAGTATTCTTGCAGCTCTAGAAACCTATGCTGCTGCTAAAAAGCCCAAACAGGAGTCATCAGATCTCTATTGTTATTATCTGATTTATGGGGGTTAATAAAGTTCCAGAATTGTCTTCAGTCAGTTTTAAAACGGATCTCGAGATTGGAAACATAGTTATTATAATGCAACACAAATAGTTTTTTACATATATTTCTAAGTATGCTACAATGTTATTCATTAAAGGAGTGGGATATTTTATATTATGGGTCTTCTTCTTAGATTCTTTGCGCATTTAATATATCACTTTTTTGTAATGCATTTATATATTGTCTGCTTGATATTGCTTATTTTTTAGGTCTTGTGTGTATATTGTTTCATTTTTCTGTCCATATTTTAATTTAACCTATTTTTCTAGTATATTTCTACTACTTCCACAATTCCTGTATATTTTTTAGTTCGAAGAGAAGCAAAAAGAAAAAGAATTAGAAGAACGTAGAAGATATCCTCTAGAAGAAAGACTTAAGAAACACATAGTAGGACAAGAAGGTGCGATTGCAATTGTTTCTGCAAGTAAGTATCCTTAAAGTGTCTTAAGTATTTTTTTTTTATTTTTCATTATGTTTTCATGATTTTTTAAATGATTTTTCTGATCTTAAGAATCGCTAAGTTAGTCTCAACTTCATCTAACCACCTAATTCGCGGTCCGCCTTTGCTTATTCTTCCTATAGATGTTCCTGTCGTTAGCTTTTTAGCAATCATATTGTCAGGCATTCGTATTATGTGCCCAGCCCATCTAAGTTGCTGTGTTTTAATGAACTTTACGACATTTGGTTCATTAAAGAGTTGGTATAATTCAAAATTATATCTTTCGCGCCACTTTCCTTGATCGTTTATAGGTCTAAATATTTTATGGAGTACCTTACACTTGAATATGCTCAAAAGTCTTTCATCTTCTGAGTTAGAGTCGATGTTTCTGCCCCATATGAAATGACCAGCCTCAGCAGTGTTTTTATAGAACAATTTTAGTTTTTTTTTGGATATTTCTTGAGTGGAATTGTTTTTGGAGTCCATAGTATGCTCTATTTGTAAGGTTTATTCATCTTTTCTTCGTTTGTTTTGTTGGTACTAGTCATTAGCGAGCCAAGATATGTAAACCTGTCAATGGATTCAAAGATATGACTTCCAAACATTCTTTCCTGGTCTTCATTTGCTATAGGATCCTTAGTAACCAACATGTAATTGGTTTTGTCTTTGTTGATGACTAGACCGACCTGTTCAGCTATTATGTCAATGTCTATATATATATAGTACTGTTTAAATAAGTGACTTTATTTGAATATTTTACCCAGATTAAATCTGTTCTCCAGAAAATAAGCCTGGCCAATGCTCTATGGAGTGTACATATATTAAATACATTAGATGTGGAGAAAGGTCCTTGATTGTTGTCCTGTGCTCTCTATGGTTTGCATCCTCCTTCTTAGTTCAGTTTCCTGACCGAGATGAGTGGATAAAATGAGAGCCGGCATGATCCATCAAAGCAAGCTCACCTGATTCACGGTGTCCAGAATGGACGAGAGGGCAGATGCTGGAGTATATGGGAGCGGAATCCAGAGTTCATATTTTACTAATTTAGAATATATTCTTGTTGTGTTAAGCGTTTTTCAGATTTTCTCAGCTTTAGCACCTCATAGCACTTTCTGTATACCTAGATTTATCCCAGATTTGTGGATTTTCTCATTAGTTAACTGTTATAGAAGAACATTTATATTTAAGTACTATCGTAAATCCAAACTTGCTTCTTTACTGATAGTTAGTTTGTTAAAAACAATTTTTAAGCTTTAGTACAAAACCATCGAAATAAAGATTGTAATTAGGGTCAGGTATTAATTCCCTTAAAAACAAGGCATTTTTGTGGTGTAGGCAATACTAATTTTTGCTGTATTAATTGTTGATTGATTAATTTTTAACATTTTTTTTTTGAGAAAATGAATTGCAACTCCTGTGAAACACGAAACTAGAAATGTTACAAAAAGTTTTGTTTTGTTTATTGCAAAACAGTGTGTCTTCAGACTTTAATGGACAGTATCTCTAACAATTTTTGTAGAATTATGTTGAATCTAATTTAACTATTATTTTAGCTATTAAAAAATAAAATAATCATTATTTCTTATAACCAAACTATAAAAAATGTGCATAAAAAATTATCTGTATTATATACAGCTATACAGCTCTTCGTATTTTAATATCCAGTTTAAGATAACTAATTACTAACTCTCTCTATGTTGTAGCTGTACGTAGAAAAGAAAACGGATGGGCCGATGACGATCACCCCTTGGTATTTTTATTTTTGGGATCATCAGGCATAGGCAAAACAGAACTAGCAAAACAATTGGCAAACTACATGCACAAAGGACAATCACAGCCATTCATTAGATTAGATATGTCAGAATATCAGGAGAAACATGAGGTAAGTGAGCAGCTGTCTTTACTCATTAGGTCCCATTTATTATCTGCAATATGTTAACTGACTATCTATACAAGGTAAATTATAAAGAACTGATTTGTAGATAATATTCAGTGGTAATTTCTAGGTAGCTAAACTTATTGGAGCCCCTCCAGGCTACATAGGCCACGATGAAGGTGGTCAGTTAACGAAAAAACTGAAGAAATGTCCAAACGCAGTGGTACTATTTGATGAAGTAGACAAGGCACATCCAGACGTCTTGACTGTGCTTCTTCAGCTGTTTGATGAGGGCAGACTAACAGACGGCCAAGGAAAAACCATCGAATGCAAAGATGCTATTTTTATTATGACATCTAATCTGGCAAGTGATGAAATAGCTAACCATGGGTTGAGGTTACGACAAGAAGTGGAAAAGTTGAAAGCGGATAGATTGGCTGTTCCTGATTCACCAGGTTAGTATAGATCTATATAGTTTTATTACCTAGTATTTTGTTTTTTCTCTTTCTGTGTCATTTTCATAAAAATGCTCTTTAATATACTGGTTGCTAATTTGATTCCACTGTACAGCGTTGCGAAGTTTTAAAAATGATAGAGGATATGGGAAAATTTCAGAAATTATAACATATCGTATGGTTATACAGTTAAAATTACATAAAATATGTGATGATAAGTAGCGTTTGTTTCAGTTTTTACAAGTAAAACATTCAATTTTTTGTTTCATTTTTTAAATTTTTTTTCTATTTAGAAGCCGAGCAGAAAATAAGTGATACCATAACAGTTTCAAGGAAATTTAAAGATGAAGTAGTAAAACCAATTTTGAAGCGACATTTCAAGAGGGACGAATTTTTAGGTAGAATAAACGAGATCGTGTACTTCTTGCCGTTCTCCAGAAACGAGCTCATTCAACTAGTTACGAGAGAAATGCAGCAGTGGGCACAAAAGGTACCTATACATTACATTTACAAATAACTTGATGTTTGTGATATATTCTTGTTTGATTCGATAGTTTATATGTTCACCCTAGCTCCTGTAGTTTCGCTCTAGGGTAGTGTGGGACTCCAGGTACTTCACGCGAAGTATGTCAACCTGACTTTACCCACTAAACGCCTCGGTCGAATTTGTCACTTTTGTCTCCATCCTATTTGTTAAGTTCCTTTTGCTCTTTTACTTTTGCTTATTTTGTAGCATCCTCTCATATTCTACTTTCTTTTTAATAATTTCCCTGATAGTCCCTACCGTTATGTTGAGGGTCTCTTTATTACGTTTTCTGGTGTGATCCTTTCCATTTTTTTTACCGCTCTTCACTTTCCTGGCTGCTGACTGCATGCAAAAACGCAGTGTTCGTGTCATCCTCCACCTCACACAAGAATGGTGTGAAATAACAGTTGGTATATCTAAAGTTGCAGTTTATGTTGGGCTCTATGTGCGGGATGAACGTCCTCGTCCAAATTGCTTGAGTTCTTTCTTGGTAACACGTTCTCTGTCACTGTTTCATACTATTTTGTCTACTTTCCTTCCCTGATTTTCTTTATATCCCCCTTCTTGTACAAAGTCATCCTCTTCCTTACTATTAACTGAATTGATACAACTCCTACTATCACTTGTACAGCAATTGTTGAGGTCATCATTCCACCCTTATCATCATTTCCATGTACTTTTTTTAGTACTTTCTCCCAGACTCGAACTGCTTCCTTACATTTGGTTCAGTGTTCTTCTATACTTAAATTTTCGTCGATTCTTGTCAGCTCTTCATTTAAAATTTTCCTGTAGTTATCCCTAGCGTTTTCAAATCCTAGCACATCAGTATTATATTTCGTAGATTTTGTGCTCTTGCCCTTCTTAGCGTTTGATATACGAGCCCTGAGTTTTGTTCTTACAAGGTAGTGGTCAGAGTCTATATTAGCACTTCTACATGCTCTTACATCTAGTACGTACGAGAAATGTCGACTATCAATTAGTACATGGTCAATTTGGTTTGTGTTTGATCGTCTGGTGATTGCCATGTGGCTTTGTGGATATTTTTGTGAGGAAAACATGTACTTACTACCACCATTCCCAATGATGCTGCGAGTTCAATCAGGCGTAAACCATTTTGGTTGCTGACAGCAGAGGACTATGCTCGCCGATCGTGGGTCGGTAAATAGTCTCTTGGTCGACTTTAGCGGTAAAATCACCAATAATAATTTTTATGTCGTTGTTCTGACATTGTCTGTAAGTGCTTTCCAGTTTCTCGTAAAATATGTCCTTCTCCTCGTCTTCTTTATCTTCAGTGGGAGCATGAATATTGATAATGCTGTAATTAAAGAACCTGCCTTTAATTCGGATTCTACATATCCTTGGACTTATTGGATCTAAAGCTATGACTTCTGATTTCAATCGTTTATTTAGTATGAATCCCACGCCAAAAACTAACGCTAAAGCTAACCTGGAGTAGCTAAAGCTAACCTGGAGGAGCAGTTCACCCGCTCTTGTCAGTTGCAGACCCAACCTTTCAACTGGGTTGGACACCGCATCTCCAGTCGGGTTGCTCGGTTTAACAGGGGACACCAACGTGAAGGTGAGAGTCGGATTTGAGTAGATGAGGCAAGTGGAGTAAACTGGAATCAATTCCATATTTTCGGATCCTACACATTTGTCCCCTATTATCTTCCATTATGATGGCTAAATCATCTGCAAAGTCGACTGTTTTCACAACTTCCCCAAACTTTAGCTCCATTACCCCATTGTATATGATGTTCCACAGTATCGGTCATAACATCGATCCCTGAGGGACTCCCTATGTTGGGTCCAATCATTTTTTACTGGTTACTTTTATTTTTCTGTTTGATAAATAGTCACACGTAATGTTCGTTGAATATGTAGGTATATTCATGTCTTTCATTCTTTCGATTATCGAGGTCCGATTTGCTGTATTTAAGTAATTTTTAATATCTCTTATTCTAATACCCATTTTATTGCATCAACGGCTGATTTTCCTTTTTGGAATCCAAATTGTCGTTTCGATATTTGTTTTCCTTCATTCAACATCTTTAGCCATATCTCAAACTCTCTCTTCATTTTCGCTACGATGCCTAAATGATTGTAATATTTTTCTGTATTTTTTCTTCTCTCTATTACATTACCAGACAAACTCATAAATATTTCTGGTATTAAACAATATTATTAAAGAGCACCTTAATGTTTTAGGCAAAAGAAAAGCATAAAATAGAAATAAGTTGGGACAGAAGCGTAGAATCGGCACTAGCCGACGGCTACGATGTGAGTTATGGTGCTAGATCGATCAAGTACGAAGTTGAGCGTCGTGTAGTTAACCAGCTAGCTGCTGCGCACGAGCAGGGCTTCATCGGTAAAGGATCCGCAGTTCAGGTATGCGCGTCGTGGCCAGAAAACTCGGATTGCGCAGAAATTAAGCTCAAGGTTAAGCGAAGCGGGTTGAAGGATTTCGTTGATCTAGATCATTCAAGGCTGTCATTAAAGAATTTGTCATCGATATTTAAGTAAGACTAAAAGATTAGTAGAAGTGTTAAATTTACTGGTACTGGTATATAAAACGTATATATTATTCATTTTTTTTTATTAAAAACCATGTTTTGTTTGAAATTATTATGATGTTCAAATATAGATACTAGAAAACCAAAAACTGGAAAATATCAATGGATTTTTTAGTTTTTGATGCAGGTGAGTCACTGAATTGTTCAATATGGTACAAAGTATTAGAGTATATAATGGCACAGTAATACCAGCAAAATTTTGAAACGCGCCGTGGTTCTCAATATTCTGTTCTTAAAATATGCAACGTACAAATTGAGATATTTACCTATTGTTGAACAATTTATACATTACAATAATTTTTTATGTACTAGTATTAACATTTGACACTTTATGCTTGAAATATTTGTCATTACAAGATAATTATGTTTTTCACGAATTTCATTGTGATATATTTACATCCACATACAAGGGCAAGATAAAATGTTTTTGGTTTAAAGCAGAAAATAAAATTTATATTGTTCTTACTATGAATCCTGGTACAGCAGGTAGGCGCAAAAATTAATCGGATTTGTCGTAAAACCGACAAATGTTTTTTTTAGTGAATATATAAATTTGGACCTTTTCGTCGTAATACTCGCTTAACGAAATACCCTCCATTTGTGTTTTTTGGTCTTTTATGTATAATGCTGCTTACCGAAAAACAAGTTTTACCTTATTTAATAACGCACCTCTTGTCCTTGTTAAATCCAACACTATTCGTAACCCGTGTCTCTATCTTACTCGTAGAAATTAATAGATTACGATTTATGCTATCAAGGTAAATGTAAATACATCCTACACTATTTTATTATAAGTGCGCTTAACATTTCAACGCGCTTAACATTCTACACTATTTTATTATGAGTGCGCTTAACATTTCAACGAGTGAAAGTGTATGATGAAATTAGAAAAATTATTTTAGGAAAATACTGACCATTTTGATTTATCGGTTAGCATAGTTCAGATGGTATACCGTACTGGTGATCTAGTAAATATAGTAATTATCTTATATTCGAAGTTAATGAATATACACTTGAGTGCAAAAAAATCGACTCGAAAGTTATTTTGCGAAAGTACGTCTCCTGTTTCAATCAAAAAAGGTGTAAATTTAAAAATATTTAGTGTACAAATTATTAACCTCATTATTGAGTTTGAAAAAAGTTTTAATTTTTGGTAAATCGGGTGACGTATTACAAATAAATAATCCAACACGTAGAGAGGGGTCATAATTGGTATCAATTTCCATAGCAACCCACTAATACATCAGTCAATTAAGTTCGCAACTTCATAACAAATGGATACCACATCCGTCAAAGCAGCTCAAGCAGTAGCATTATTGAGCGAAGACCTGAGCCGGAGAGCCGTGGCAAATGGACTAAATTTAAGCCAATCTGTTGTGTCCCGAGTGTATCGTCGGTACCAAGATACTGGTGATTAGGTCCGCCGACAAGGAGGAGGTAGTAAACGAATAACAACAGAGAGAGATGATCGATTTCTTGTATCTAAATCTCTGAGAAATCGACATTTTACTGGTGCTTATCTCAAAGGAGAGCTTAGAGAGGTCCAAGGTGTGGTTACCAGCGTTTGGACAGTCAGAAGGAGACTGAAAGCAGCCAACCTGACACCAAAAAGGGCAGCTACTGGTCCCAAGCTAACTGCAGCCCAGAAGCAAAGACGACTAGAATTTGCTCGCGAACTTCTGGAATGGGACGACTTGGCTCAGGCCAGAGAACGATTTGCTCAATGTTATATACGAGAAATTGTGTCATATGGAGGCGGTTCTTGTATGTTTTGGGCAGACATTTCCATGGTTGGGGAAACCGAGCTGGTTTTCGTGCCTGGTATAGGAGGTAGAGGAGGTTTAACGACGGATCGTTACATCAGAGATATTTTGGAGGAACATGTGGTTCCATACGCGGAATTTATTGGTAATGCCTTTATTTTATTGCATGATAATGCACGATGTCATAGCGCACGAGTCACTACCACCTATCTGACTGAGATCGGTATACCTACAATAAACTGGCCTGCGTTGAGTCCCGACATAAATCCAATAGAGCATGTTTGGGATGAGCTTAAACGAAGGGTTCGGAGCAGAAATCATGCACCAAGGAGCGTAATGGAATTGAGAGCTGCGTTTAATGATTAATGGTAAGCAATGCCTCAAGAATTTATTAGAAAAGGCATCCGATCCATGCGAAATCGATTGGAAAGTGTAATTAGCAATAGGGGTGATAATATCAGATACTGAAAAACAAATTCATTTTGTAATTGATGATTTCTCTGTTCATTACGTCTTTCTTGGGATAGTTCCAATGATGAATATTCGAGAAACTCTGTTCGTATTGCATATTGTTTTTATAATGAAATAGCAGTTTTTGTAAGTTCAATAATAAAGTTACTGTTTGCACATTACATCTTGTTATTTTCATACTTCTTACATTACAACAGAAGGTGTAATCTCAAATATCGCTTTTGACTCGATCGTTTTGCACTCAAGTGTACATTATTATCAGTTTTTTTTTGATAAAAGAAGCCTTCAACAGTAAGTATATTTCTTCTTCTTCTGCTTCTACCTGCTTATTAAACAATTTTGCGTTTCTCTTTCCTTGTGAATGTCAGTCGGCTTCCTCGCCCGCTTGGCTATATGACCGACTATTCCGATAATCTGTCAAAATGTTTCCAATCTCAGTGAATCAACTACACATAAAACATATTTATAATTAAATGCAGAATCATTCATAGATCCTTCTGATCACATGTAATAAAATTTAATATACAACATTCTTCTTATTCTTGATGTGGCCTATCCGTTACGAATGTTGGCGATCATCATGGCAATCTTTATCTTATCTGCAGCAGCGCGGAAAAGCTGCACATATGTTGTATTGAACAAGATTCTGAGGCTCTTTAACCAAGATATTCTTCTTCTTCCTGGACCTCGCTTTCCAAATATTTTTTCTTGCAGGATGACTTGAAGGAGAGCATATCTGGATCATTTCGCATAATATGTCCGAAGAATTGTAACATTCGAGTTTTGATGGTGGTCAGTATCTCTCTTTTCTTATTCATTCTTCTGAGGACTCCTCATTTGTGACTCGGTCAGTCTGCGGGTACTTAAGTATCCTCCGATATAGTTACATCTCAAATGCTGCCAGTTTTCTGCACATATCTTCGTTCAAGGTCCACGATTCAACACATAAAAAAGGACAGAGAAGACACAGCTTCGCAACATTCTTACTTTTGTATCAAGAGAGAGGTTGTGACTCTTGAAGAAGGCCCCCATCCGATTGAAGGTGGATCTAGCTTTTCCGATGCGTGCTCTAATCTCCTGGTTGTTGGTCCATTCTTCATTTATTATGGTGCCGAGGTAGTTGTAGAGCGTCACTCTTTCTACAGGAGATTTTTTGACGTAGAGGTGACCTTCTGTTATCCTTATATAAAACATATTTAGTATTATTTAGCAAATAATTTTGAAGTGTCGAATATTAATAAATAACTTTTTACAAAAATCAGTTACAATTATTTTGGTGAGAGCGATATGGCAGTTAAGAATTTGGCGAGAGCGCCATATTAATTTTTAAAAATTAAAAGCAACACTAACTAGGTGTCGCCACTAACGTTAGTGTATTACTATTAGCTGCCAGGAACTGGCATGTATAGATGCTCGATTCCTTGATCACAGTCCTATTCAACCCAGTATACAACCAAACACATTTGTTTAAATTAACAGATCATTCACACGCAGTCTTAACAATATAAGACTGCATCAATTAAAACTAAGATTCATATGTTTATTTTTGAATTTTGTAGTTAATTACAAATTATTATTTATACATAGAAAGTTTTTAATCACAATGAAAGAATATACACTCCCATTTTTCATGATTCGTCTATTAATGAAAGGAATTTTTGTGTTGTATGCTTCCTGTAAAAACATTCCCAAACTGAGCAAAAGGATTATTGCTACTCCTACCAGTCCGAATCCTGTCCACCAAGCACACGAAGATTAGGCACAACCTAACATTTGTCGAGTGTTTTGCAATAAATATATACTAATATAACAACACAGTCATTTCAAATGTAGCAGAGCCGTCCATTGGCTCCAACGTGAACTTTTTAACTTGTCCTTGTCAAAGTGTAAAGCTGCTGTAATACAAGAATTTTATTTTTGTAGAATTTTAGCTATTACTACTCTTTATAAGTGGAATTGGTTAGTATTTTTCAATTTGAATATTTTTTGGTTAGAACTTTACTTTATTATTAGAAAAATATATTTCTCCATATAGTCTAGTCATCATTTATGAAATACTGAGATGTTAAATATATATTTTTTGTTAGATTTCAATAAAAAACTTAACCTTAACCAAAAATTCTTAAAATCCCTTAATTTCCATATCCATTCAATTGAACCTACATGTAGAGTGGAACTTGAGTAGCCTTTCTAACTCGTAATCCAGTGTATGAAGGAAATTTTGATGATATCTGCACTTTGTAATAGATAAAAATTTAACCTGGTATGTGAGAAAGTTTGTTCGGACTACCATTCGTGTACAAATGAACACGGCTTTACTGTATTGTGTACGAAAACCTAGTGCAAAGATTTTAATATACTGTAAGAAATGTCAAATTTAATATAAGTATCGTAAAGTTACAAGTTTACAAAAAGTTTTCTTATAGGAGTACTTTTAGTATAGTTTTAGTGACTTGTAAAATTTATACCGACTGAAAGATAAAATTAAATCTTGAACACTTTCATGAGATTAGTTCAGATAATTTTCGACCTGGTATTACACATAAATAGTTGATCGAACAAATCGCTTCGAATTTTGGTAAAGAAATATCTTTCTTCGCCGCGTTTCGCTAGTTTTTCTAATATAATCGTGTTATTGGTTCGCCCCAGTACCAATTGGACCAAAGCAAGTCCAAAGTCGCCTTCAACGCTAAACAATGAACAAATCTATGCTGTT